CAGGGGTAGCCAGGAAGAAGGTCTGGCCTTTAAGCCGGCGCGCCCGGCCTTGCTCGCCAAGCAACTCGAGGCAATGGGAGCCCACTGCGCTGCTATACAAGAGGCACGCACACCGGAGGGCTGCATCACAACCGGGGCTTTTCTGCGCTTCTGTTCTGGTGCATCTCGTGGTCACTTCGGAGTTGAGCTGTGGTTTAGGCAGAATTTCACTCTAGTTCACCCGAGTCCAGACTGCTGTGACTCCTCGCCTGTCGTATTCGAAAGGGATGCTTTTGTGGTCTTAGCAAGGGACCCTAGACGCATTGTACTCCTCTTTAAGCAGGGTAGACTGCAGATACTCTTCGCTGCACTGCACGCCCCACACCGGGGGTCGGAGCCCCCCGTCATAGAGTCGTGGTGGAAGGAAACTGAGGCACTCCTTTTCCGTGAATCTCGGGGGAAACCCTTGATTGTGGGCGCCGACTGTAATGCGGCCCTTGGATCAGTACCCTCTGAGCATGTCGGGGAGGCTGAGTCCGAGACTCAAGACTTCTCGGGGGAATTACTCCATTCCTTGCTCCACAAATGCGGTCTCTGGGCGCCTGCAACATTTCCTGAGGTGCAGAGCGGCGCGGGCTAGACGTATGTTCAGCGTCGCAACGGTGCGACTAGCCGCCCCGATTATGTACTGCTACCGCTAGAGTGGCGGCAAGGCCATTCACATGCTTGGACTGAGCCGAGTGTGACTGCTGCTAACATGGTCATTGATCACGTGGCTACTGCAGTTGATATCGGGGTTGCTGTTCGCATTGGGGCCTCGCTGCGCGATTTTTTCTTTCGGATTGATGCACATGCGCTTACACTCCCTGCCAACACAGATCTCGTGGCGGGAATTATCGCCAAGGCCCCGCGACCCTCGTGGGAGGTGTCCGCTCACGAGCATGCTGCACAGGTCACCTCATATCTTCAGGATTCTTTGCGTGAGGCATTCCCCAGGGAACGGCGCAAGCCTCTGCATCCCTATATGTCTGACCTCGCGTGGGACCTGCAGCAACAGGTGTCATGGCTGCGTCGCCGCTGTGCTATCGTAAAAAATGCGGTTCGGCACCATACTCTGGTCGCTGTTTTTGAAGCCTGGCGTGATCGGGGATCCCATGCTGAGGCGGCGTCGTCTGCCTGGCTTCGGGACGCCCAAGTCGCGTTAGCCTTATATGGTTTTCGGCTGCGCTTCTTTGCCAAGGCGCTCAGAAGTCGATGCAAGGCGGACAGAGCGGCCTACATCAGCCGCCTTGCTGATGAAGTCCAGGCCAACTCCGCGCAAGCTTTTCAGGCTGTCAACGGGCTTTTGTGCCGCAGGCGCAAGCAGCCTTTTGCCCCAGCGGTGTTGCCGTCCATCAACGAAAGGGACGGTTCTCCTTGTAAGACCCCGGAGGATGTCGTTAGAAGATGGAGGCAGCACTTCAGCGACATTGAGGCAGGTGCCGATACAAATGCCAATCTGCTCTGCCAACGAGTTGAGCAGAAGAACGAAAGAGCATGGCCCCTGCCAGAATGTGTGGATTCGGTGCCTACCCCTCTTGACTTGCAATCCTCTCTCTTTTCAGCTAAAAAAAGCAAAGCTTGTGGACCGGATCAAATTCCGGGGGAAGTCGGCATCGCGTGCTCATTCGGGATGCAAAAGCTGCTTTACCCCCTGGTTCTTAAGCTTGGCCTGCTTGGAGAAGAAGCGATAGGGTTTAAGGGGGGTGTCCTCACCAAACTGTGGAAGGGCAAAGGATCGCAGAGCGATTGTTCTTCGTTCAGGGGTATCCTCCTTTTATCCAACTTGTGCAAAGCGATTCACCGCACCTTTAGACCAGCGATTCAGGGCCATTTTTGCCAGCATGCCGCGCCTCTTCAATTGAGCGGCAGGAAGGGTGGCAGCGTTGTGTTTGGGTCACACATTTGTCGATCCTTTCTTCGTTGGCAAATGTCCATGGGCCGAACTGCTGCTGTTGTCTTCACTGATGTGGCCTCGGCATATTACACGGCCAAGCGAGAACTCGCGGCCCGCCATCCCTCTGTCGAGGTTCCGACGCCAGACGAGGCCGGCAATGGGGATGAAGATTCGCTTGAAGGTCAGCTTGCTCTTCCTTCCGCCATGGCTCAGTGCGGTGCGGAGCCATGGCTTAGGGCGTTGACTTGTGTCATCAACGAAGACACGTGGATGCGGTTGCAATCTGATGTGGTACCTGTGGCCACAGAGCAGGGAACTAGGCTCGGCTCCGCGTGGGCTGATTTGACTTATGGAGTGCTGGTGTCCCGCATCCTCCAGCTAAAGGCTTCCTTGAAGTGTTCGGCTGGCGATCATGTCAACGGAGTCGCTGTCCCGTGGGACGGCCACCGCGGATGGCAACCGTCTGAGTCTTCCTCGACTCAAGTCCATCTATGCGAGCTTGTCTGGGCCGATGACTTGTCCTCTTGTGTCACGGTCGATCGCGCTTGTGACTTGGCATACGCGGTCGGGATTGAAGTCAGCACCTTAGCCGATGCTTTCGGTAGTCATGGCTTCGAGCTTTCGTATGGACCTCGGAAAACGGCGGTGCTCCTTTGTCCACGTGGGCAGGGCGCCCGAGCTGTGCGCCGAAAAATTTTTCGGCAGAACCCCGTGCTTCCTGTTGTTCGCGAACGGGCCGGTGTCGCCGAGGTACCAGTCGTCGAGACGTACAAGCACTTGGGCGTCATGCAGATGCATGGAGGAGGCATCAGCGCTGAGATCAAGCAGCGCTGCGCAGTCGCTTGGTGTGCGTTCCGCGAAGGCCGCACCAAGGTGTTTCGCTGCCGTAGGGTGTCTTTGCGCCGTCGAGGTGCCCTGCTATCCACTCTTGTCCTAAGCAAGCTCACCTTCGGGTCAGGGGCCTGGCCTCCCTTGGGCAAGATTGAGGAGCGACTTTTCGGCGGAGCTGTGACCTCCTTGTATCGCGCCACCCTCAACGTTGCACATCAGGACGACCAGCATTTGAGTGTTGCAGCCATTTGCGCGTTGCTTGGTTTGCCTGACCATGCCACTTTACTGAAGCTCGAGCAGCTCCGTTACCTTCGCCAGTTAGTCGGGCATGCCCCAGACGCTTTGTGGGCAGTCTTGCGTGCGGACTTGCCTTATATGGGATTGATCCGTAATGCACTGACTTGGCTTTACGACCGGTTACGTGCTACTACCGAGCTTCCACATCCCCTGGAAGACTGGCACCCATGGCTGCGTGTCTGCACCGATCGTCCTGGGCTGTTTCGGGGTATGGTAAAGCGTGCCAAGGGCTTGGAACTGTGCCGTATCCAATGCTACGCTGCAGCTCAAAGGTTGTATAAGGTCTTGCAGTTTCATAGCGAAGGCGCCCCTGCCATGTCAGCATGTCAAGAAGGCCATTTTACGGAGGCTTGCTTGGTGTGTCGCAAAGGGTTTCAGTCCAGGTCAGCGTGGGCGTGCCACGCTTCGAGACTCCACGGTTATAGGCTGGCTGCGACCGAGCTTGCGGGACGACACGGCGACACACTGTGTCAAGGCTGTGGGAAATGTTTTGCAAACTGTAGTCGGTTACGTCGACACTTGCTTCACGCCGAGGCCTGCCGACGACAGTGGGGGACTTTCTCGCTTGGCGAAGGTACAGTTGTACCGACCTTGCACGCAAGGCAGCCTCCCCTCGAGTTGGAAGGGCTCTTGGAGGCTTTTCACCAAGATGCCGAAGACCCTGCGGCATACAGCAAAGGTTTGCTCAGTGCTCTGTTCGATCTTGAGGGACCTAGCGCCGAGCAGGTTTGGGATGTTGTGGTTGACTTTATAGAGCCGATTCAGGTTCTGAGGCGCACTGTGCTGGGGCGACCGGCCCAACACTGCTGTGCAAGATGTTGAGGTTGCCGAAGACGTTTTGCTTATGTTTGACCCTGAAATTGCGTGCGAACATTTCCATCGTACGCCTCGCAAGGTTTCTGTCACAGAATGTTGCCCGGATCTGCCTGGGCCACTCAGTACATCCTTGCCTTTCATCTTGTCAGGCGCCACAGCTGTGTTCAACGTTGGCAGCCCTCCTTGCCCTGCTTTTTCGTACCCCTTTATCGGTGGGGCTACCCTTGCTGGAGCTAGCCGCCAAGTGGCTTTTGTTGAAGCTGCTTTTGACTCTCTGGCTAGTGCAGTGCAACAATCCCAGCTTTCCAAGATCGAAATCAGAGCCTCGCGGCAAACACTCGAAGCACTTGAGCCTGCACCCACTTGGATGTTATCTGTGGGTTTTGTTTTATTCGGTGAAGGTCTGCGAAGTCCCACCGAATAGTTTCACCCGAATTCAACCGTTTGCATTAGGCGCGACTTCACGGTCTCTCAGCCTGCTGAATGAAAATGAATATATATATATATATATAATATGTATGTATAGAACTCAAAGCACACAGATGGAGATCTCAACAAGAAGGCTTGGAGCATGTTTGCTGTCAGAGCAGGATACTGATAGCTGAGCACCCCCTTCCTTCAGCGCCTGATCTACAAAAGCGGTCAAGCAGTGATTTGTAGCGATTGAGCCTGGTGCTCAGAAGCGGATCGCGGGTGATCGCAAGGGCCACAGGAAGCTACGTCACTGATGCAATTCCGCATTTCGTCGATCCGTTTCAACTGTCCACAGAGCATACACTTTCGTCACCGAAGTTGAAAGCCAGATCTGTGAGTTCATGTTGACGTTCTGCAGCGTTCTGCTATGGATGCTAGCTCGGAAAGTTTGTTCGATTTTGTTCGTGACACCCGTGGGGAGTTGCCACTGCCACTGCCACCTAACAAGATGGCCCCTGCAAGCGTGTGAGACATCACCTTCTAAGCACTGTTGCCGTCCTGTGTCGAACACGGCCCAAGTTTGTTGCGGGGAATTTTCAGGCCGATAGCACGAGCAGAAGCAAGCAACAGCTTTCCGCAGTTTGCCTGGCATTGTATCGAATGCGCATGCAGCAAGCCACACGGGCACTTCGATTGATAGAGAGGGTTGCAATGTTGCACGCCGTACATGGCCAAGCCATCCGAATTTGTTGACCACTATGCTGTGTTGAGGCCTTAGAGTCATCTTGGGGCAGCTTTGTTATCCCATGCTTAAGTCCTTGGAGCGGAACAAGTCATGTGAGGTTGGACTGCTCCCCGAAGTCATCGCATGGAGAGTCCTGGCATACTTGTGCATAGTCAGTAAGTGTATGGTGAGAAGAAACGACATTGCACCTCAAAGATTATGTCATGGTGCCTGAAAGGTGCGTCATGTGGTGGCTCAGAGCCGAGTCAGAGCTGAGGACATCAAGCATGCATATCATGAGAAGTTGCGTGAATATCATCCGGACAAACGGCCCAACAGCACAGAGGGCCGAGGCAAAAAAGTTACAGCAGCTCTGAGACTTTGGCCGGACTTGAGGAGCAGAACATGAGTTCGATTGTGTTAAGTTGCATCTAGCAGCTTGTCTTGCAACTGAACCGAGGAACCAAGCTTGGGAGGTTCTCAAAGACGAAGCACTTCGACAAGAATATGACCGCAAGTGGCGGGAAATCATGGAGCCAGCTGTTCTAGCTGACGAGTGCCGTCGTGCCGGAAATGAGCTTTATCGAGCTGCATGTCTCCTCGCTCAAAAGCATGCCGATGCTCACGGAGACGGTGTTACGTTCGGTGGAGAAGGTGCGGCAGTTCAAACACAGCGGTGGACACCTTGGACCCTTGAAACGTGCAGGTCTGGACTGGGCGAAGCAGGCTTTGGAGAAGTACCATCTATCAATCGAAGCCTATTCGAGAGGCCCTTGAAACCCTGAAACGAATCGCGATGCGCAACGATATCCAGAACCTTATCCCCTGCGGAGGTTTGGAAGCTGCTCCTCATGACCACCGCTTGTATAACAACAGGGCCCTGTGCTTTGCCGCCCTGAAGATGTGGACAAGATGTCAGGCCAAGCTCTCAGTTCTGCCTGTCTGAAGGGACTTAACATGTAATCTGAGAAGAAGCGAGAGAATCCCATTCAGTACGCCTTTCCTACCCCAAGCACCTTGCGGAATTGTCGGGCTTGTATTCTTGGGCACCAAACGTTTGGTCATGCATCACCTTGTTGGTAGAAAGTCATGAAAGGCAAATCAGTCAAATCATGTTTGGACGACAACTCAAGACCCAGATAGCGATCATCATCATTGGTTCATCGGTCGATGGGTCTTTCCCCCGCCACTCTTTGGGTTTGCCGGCTCCTTTTCGATTGTTGGAGACTCGACACTTCCAGCGACTGCAAACCAGTGTGGGTCGAAGTCCGCGGTTTCTGGTTTGGCTGTGTTCTCTCAGCCTCCAGAATCGAGGTTTGCAGTGTTACCCAGTCGACGTCAGTTTCTCTCTAGGCAGCGTGTGCCGTGTAATCATGCGAGATCTCGATGTCAGGCTTCAGAAACGTACTTGGCAGAGGTAATGGCATGAGGCCCATGCAACATATCTGCTGCGGACATGCAGATTTGCATTCATTTCACCACATTTCAGCCGTGTGTGTGTGTGTGTGTGTGTGTGTGTGGTGTGTGGTGTGGTGCTGTTTCGAATCTAGAGGTGGTATTGCAGCTGCTCGATTCCCAGATTTCTGGCCCGTTGAAGCAATAGCCGTGACAGGATGATGCACGTCAAGTCATACAGCTCAAGCCGGACTTCAAGAAGGGCTGGTTCTTGCTTGCGAAAGCACTCTGGAAGGACGACAGTAGAGGAGGTTGAGAGAATCTCATGTCATGGGTTTGCAGCTGCTGCTACAGTAGGCGGTAGGCGATTTGCAGGATGGCCAGCTGGCAGATGCGAAGAAAGAGATAGATGCTGGTCTTACACTCCTTCCGGAATGTGCTGACCTGCTTGATCTGCAGCACCTTGGATCTTAAAGAGAAGATGCACGGGCGGTGCGGCTGTGCTGCGCTGAGCCGGCGGCCGGCAAAGAGACATCGTGCTCCAGAAGCAAGTTGCCATCAAACCCCGGAAGCTGAAGCTCGAAACCAGCGAAAACTGGGGAGGAACACTGCGCATCTTGCAAAGAGGCAGCAGAGGAGAAAGGGCAGGACTTAGAGGCTGCTAGAGTTTAGCTGCTAGAAAGTGTACGTAAAGTACACAAGAAAACGAGGAAATTGGGGGCAGGGCAGAACCTTACCTCCTGCACGCCCCACGCTTTTAACCCAATTCTCCACCCGCCCACTATCTCACCCCCCCTAATGCACAAAGCACCTCCCAAAACCTCGCCCAAAATTTCGAGTCCCGATGCGTTTGCTTCGGCACCCAACTGCAAAAATGACCGAGCCAAGCATCAACCCCAGATCACCACAGCATAGCGCCGGCAACTTTCCCGCCGTGACCGTGTTTCCAACATCTGAAGCCTCGGTCATGCTCCACTTTCTCAGTTTACAAACAGATGCTTAAGGCGTCCTTGAGGTTGTATCCTAACTCGGCAGCTGTCATGCTCTTTGTTGCTCATTGTGCTTGTGATGTCACGACGTGTCAGGGCAGAGATCCACAATGCGCTCACGGAGCAATCAGGTGGCCTCTCGGACGTCGGGCTCAGTAATTGGACGAAGACCTGAGGTTCAACAGCTACAGCTTCACCTTCATAGCTGTTGTCTTGTGCTGAGGCCAGCACCTTCCGTTCATATTGACCCGACGAAGCAGCGTCAGCAGAAGCTTTGTGTAATTAGCAAGCCAGCAAGTTTGTTGGAGTCACGAATGTCAGTGCCTGGCTTGCTCGACTGAGGGAACGTCTCTCCAGTTGGAACTCCCCCGCCGTCGTCAAGCTCTGTTCGTGTACAGCCTCCGCCTCCAATCCACAAGCCGATGCCTCCCCGGAGGTTCCGGTGCTTAGTTCAAGTAGCCAATTCTTGTAGGGAACCTGGTCAGTGAATATTGTTGGTGGAAGAGGACGCCCAAGTGTGAGTTTGGATTTGTATCCGCTACCTAAAGAATCGAGGCTTGAAGGTCGCGGTTGAAGCTGTTGCCAGCATCAAGCCACTTCAACGAAATACATGGGGCTTTCAACAATGTCCGTTTCGCCGCTACAGCCCCCCAACGATTCTGAACTCTTCAATCAACAGTGTCAGCAACAGCACATTGGTGCATTCAAGCACCTACAGGCCACAGACAGACCTCTTCGGTACCTGCTCGTAATGCTCGCCTGCGCGCGGAAACAGCTTCCCAACAGCTTTTGTCGTCTAGAATTTCATGTGGCCCCTGGATAACTTCGAGTACGTAGGCTATTTTGTACGGATTGAGTCGCCCGGACAAGGCGGAGTTGTCAGCTCGTGCACGTTGACGGGTTTGCGAGCAATCCTCTGACTTCCTTTAAATGCTCGGATGAGTCAATGAATACTGTGCTCTTGTCTGTGGCGCAACGTGCGAGGCAGGCCTGCACATCTCCCTCTCCGCCACCCGATGTTTCTGGACGATCCCAGAGCTTACGTTGCTTCGACAGGCCAGCGTTTCGACAGCTGTCTCGAATTTTGGGGCTTCTTCGCTTCGCAAACCAGGCAGACAGTGGGAGCCAAGAGCAGTTCGCTGTCACCTTTGAAGCATCGACATCTACCCAGGCCTGCTCCTTGCCTTGTGCTGCGTATGCTGATATTCAATTTGAGATGAACTCTCAGAGGACAGACCTGGGAGATACGCTGGCGCCGGCCGGCCTGGAAGCAACCGCTCGATTTGGAGACAGCACAGCAGCTTCCCAACCGCAGTCAATGCCTCCCTGTGGCGAAACCACACGCTGGACTGTAAGGACTTTGGCGAGAAGATCAAGTTTTTCGCAAATCGATCGGCAGGAATCAGCCCTAGTTGCGGAATGACCATCCCGGAATAACTTCCTTAGTGAAGCTGTTGGCCTAACTCATAGTCTGCGACTTGTTCTCTGCACCTCTGCAAGCTCATTTCGGTCAGGGCTGTCGGGTGTCTGCTCTGGCGACCGAACTTTGTGGGACGAGACCTCAGCTTCGCGGGCACAAAGCCATCAGAGAAAAGGATTCATGGTTTTGATGCGTATGGTCAGGACCTGGCTCAGCATCATGGTATGCGAAAATGACTGTTGCATGACAAGAAATGCAGCCGACCAGTGCACCGGCGCAGCGTGCACTTTCTCGTATTTTGCAGATTAATTCAAAAGCGCCCTGCGCCTGCTCTTTGCCTGGAGCAGTAGCCGGGTTAGGTTTCCTTTTTTGCCAAAGAAGCTTCCGAAGGATGGCTTCAATTAGCGCCCCAGGCCCCAGGCACTGCTTGGAAGTGCGAGGAAGCGGCGCGCCGCTCTTTTCAGGAAGTTTTCAAGATGTTTCACAGGTACCCCGCATCAGTGAGAGCGGTTCGGTGCGAAGACTCGGTGGATCCGTTCTGTCGTGTTCAGTGGTATAGTCTGCACTACCGGACCAGCTTAGTGCTCAAGCAAGAAGCCACCAAAACAATAGCACATGGTTGACCATGAGCCAGATGCAAGTAATTCACCACAGGCGGACCGGTGCAGAGTGCATGGGGATGATGGACGGAGGCTTTCCTGGAGATGAGGCGAAATGTGTGCATCATCGGCTGTAGCTGACCTGCGAGCATTCGAGCCCGTCAGGTGGATGACCTCGTGCAGGACAGTACGCAGCACACTAGTGCACTAGGTGATGCGATGGGTTGTAACACGTCGAAGGAGATCAGCCAGCTTCCAGCAAGCAAGGGAACCTCCGGTGGAGGCACCCACACTGTGTGCACCAAGCTGATAGATAATTATGTTGGTAACGTTCCAATCACCTATTTGGAGATTTCGGCCTAATAATGGTGCCAGACCCAACACTTGCTGCTGTGTTTAGACAAGAAGGTTACGGTAGGTTCTCCACAAGCTGCAGGCCTGCTTTTAAAAGGTTCTCGCCCACCAAGACACGTGTCCGAGATGCTGGGAATGCTATGTAGAACGACCAGTCGACCGCCTCCGAGTGCACACACTTCCAGATTATATGTGGAACATTGCGCAGACTTGCAAATTGACACCTGCAGACGTCCACGGACCTTTCACGTGAAAGCATTTCATGCACTCTCTCATCGCTCGTGAGATTACCCTGCCATTGCAAGCCGCAGACAGCAGCACCATCTTTTGTGGACTAGCATTTCCTTGCGGCGCTATCGTTGGCGGTGAGAAGGAACCGCTTCCATAGTGCCCTTGAAAAGTTTCCAGTTGAATTTTGTCCGTGACACGAGAGACCGGGCAATCCTTTCAAGAGCAAGCCAGACATCACAAAACGAATGTCAGCAAGGCAGTCCCGGATGGGAGATGATTTGTAGATCTTTGCTGTCTGTGTTGCCTGCCCAGTTGACACCTAGTGTCAGCGAGGTTTCATCAGGGAGTGCCAGGAACCCACATAACTTCAAGACAGCATCGCATGATTCCGTAGTCCTTGTAGTGGCGAAATGTACTGCAAAGCGGCCCCTTTTGGAGCTCATCGGTATCCCTGCTAACCTTGCTAGCGCAAGAGGGTCCTGATGCCCTGCAGAGCTGCGGTAGGCCGTGTTTTTCTGGTTTGCTCGGTTGCTTCTAACCATTCTACCATCAGGCAGCAAAACGTTCCGATCTTGTGTCTCCAACGTGTAATTTCAATTATTTTGCAAACAATGGCAGTGCCGCTTCGAACAAACGAGCAGCCTCCCTGACTAAACACAGCGCCTTCTTTGAAGCGTCCGCTTGAGGCAGCAAGCAAGCAACAACTTGCAAAGGCATCTTCAATCAATGCCAAGCCGCCAAGGGAAATGGAGCCTGTGGACTTAAAAGTTCCAGTTGCAAGCCAATCTGGCACGCGAATCAAGCCGAGCAAGTCGATATCTCGAATCTCAAGCTTGCACTGTGGCTAGCATGCTGATTGGTTCGCCACTTCAACTTGTCTCGTCGAACTTGAACTGAAGAGGCCCGGCGACATCTTGTGTCAGGGACCTTGTTGACGCGTGGCAGCCCCGGTTCCAGAGAAAAGCAGACTGGCTCACTGTCGCGGCTTCTCTTGCGAACTCCATCGAGGCAGAAGTTTTTGTCCGAGAATGCAGAAGTTTCACAGCGCATGATGACGAGGATGTCCACTCTGGTGAGGGCCCCAATTTTCAATCTTGTCACAGTTGGTCAGGTTGACTGCTCGGCGCATGGTTTGGTGGCTACCAGCATGCTTGATTGCCAAGGTGTCGCAGGTGGTTGCAGAAGTGGAAGCAGTGCAAAACCAGACACCTAGTTGCGGTTATGTTGACAGCATAGGGAACACTTACTCAGCATGAGCATCTGAAGCTGAGGAACCTTATGATGCGTGACAAGCTCCAGGTATTTACGTGCCCGATCTTTGATTAAGAGCTTCGCAGGATTAACATGCACGGCAGGCAAGCCAGATTCCAGTGCCAGAGCTCGACGACAAGAACGGGTGGCGCTCTTGAATGGGATATCAGCTCTGAAGCTGTACGCACTGTAAGCACTACATATGTACAAGCGAGGCTTAGTCTCCCGGGCACTGCCGAGCTTGGTGGCACGTTTGGCGACGGTTTTACCGGCTCGAAGCAGCGTGGACGACGAGCCAGCTTGCAGATGCGACCGACGAGGCAGGTTTCTTAAGTAACATATTGCGAGAGTCCGCACAGGTGGGCCCTTGGGCCCTTGGTGTCGAAAGCTTTCTGCACCTGCCATGCGGTTGCAGGGCTCAGCAGCGTCGTAAGTCATCCACCTCTCAGGCGCCAGCATCTTGTGAGCACCTTTTTTCTATCACTGAAGTGCCGTTTGCTCGTGCAGCTGGGTGACCTGGAGAATGCTCTCCAAGTCTCTCCAACTGCAGGAATGGCCAAACCCCTGGTTCGCACAGTGTAGAAGCGATGAAGTCGGACGAAGACGGCCTGCAGCAAGGTTCGACCTGGAACCCCCGGTTCGAACAACCACTACGTTGACGTGGCGGAGTGCGAACCTCAGGATGGGGCGAAGAGGGCGAAAGCGCGATCCGATGTCTCGAAACATGTTCTCTGAACGTTCGCACGTACGACGTCAGAGCTCAGTTCAGTTGCCAATTGTCTCGAGCAGTCCGCATGCACAGGATTTGGAGTGATCTTTGCCGTTTACGTGTCTTGAGGTTGCATGGGTTCGGTGGTTTGAAGCCTGTGATTGCAGTTGACGTTGGGCGCCCATGCCTGTGTGAGATCGCTTCACTGAGTGTTGGAAGGACGGACTCGGCACTGCATGTGGCAGGTATTGGAAGCACAAAACATCATCCATGTATGCCATACACATGCAGAGTGGGGCAGCCAGGCGATGCTTCTGAAGATCTAGAGTGGCAGGTGAACGGTTTTCTCCCGTCGTCTGCGGGCGTCTTGGCGTCTCATGTCTGGGGCGAGAGATCGCCGCACAGTCCATTCTAACCCTGGCATATCGAGCGGTTCGGGAGTCGTCATGGATGGATTGAGCATACTATCTGCATGACGACGGAGGCCTCCGGTGCATTGAGATGGGCGAGAGCGAGTGGTGGCGGCATCAGCATTGCCTGCCAGTGACTGGAGCGAACCATCCTGCCCGCTTTCATCCCAGACGTTTCAGTGATGTTGATCAATTTGGTGCACTTTGCCGCCATCGACGGGGAGGGGCCTGCGCTCTTGCAGAACTTGCGGGCGACCGAAAGTGCTGGCGGATTGCCGTGCCGCATATTCTCCATGCTCAGCCTGACGATGCACGCCTGGACACCGATTAATGAAGCTCTGCTCCTCGCTTTGTCCCGGGCTCTGCCCAACAACAAACACGTGGTGTGGGTTTCAGAACTGCTGTGTGGTGCCAGTGTCCTAGTTGCTGGTCGCATCTGGTCGCTACACCTGTGCCTGTTCATGTTTCGTCTGTGCCTCTGCTATCTCAGTCGTAGCACGTTCAAGGGCGCTGCCGACGTAAGAGCAGCGAGGTTACCGATGCCTGCAATGCAAGGGTGCTCGCGCACTCACCCACTCACTCACTCAATTACTCACTCAATCACCCAATTACTCACTCAATCACTCAATCACTTAATCACTCAAGCAGTCAATCAGGCAGTCAGTCGATCAGTCAATCAAGCAGTCAAGCTGTCAATCAAGCAGTGAGTTAGTCAATCAATCAATCAATCAATCAATCAATCAATCAATCCTGGCTGTTCGTATCCCACGCAGCGAAGGTGGTCATTTGCGGACCGGACTTGAAATTTCGACTGCTGCTGTGACTCTTTGTTCTTCTGTTCTTGTGCAAGCCAGCTTGCAGCTCGGCGCACTGCCGTGTTGCGGAGCACCCATCACCGAGATTTTCACATTTGATTGAGGAAGGCAGGAACAAACGCGGGCGAGTAGCACAAGCGGAGACCATTTTTGCGAGATATTCGACAATGCTAGCTTTGGGGTGGGAACCCTTCCGCAAGCTTTTCACCTCTCAGGCAGACCCTGGAGTTGCGACAGAAGAAGGAGCAGCAAAAGAAGGTTCCTCTGTCTACAGTCTACGGAGTTTACGGGCTGTTGTAGAAGGACACAGCATTGAACGTGCATAGTGGTGCTCGTCCTTGCGACAGGATCTGCAGGGCTTGAAGAATTGGAACTCCAAAAGGGTATCCCGCTTGAGGCACCAGCACTGCTAACTCCTGCTGAAGCCCAAGAGATCCGGCATATCTGCGAAGGTCTGTCACCGACATATCTGGATCAACTGCTGCAACCAAAATCCCGCTTCAAGATCTCCCATTGGACCAGCAGGCTCTTCAGACATGTAGACATGCTGCCTGTCGTCCGTCGATTTCTAGTTCTCCCGCTGCCTCGCACTGCCTCTGTAGGTGGAGCAAGAGGGCAAAGTCTTCGGCAGTCCCGAGGCACAGTGCGCTCGGTTGGCCTGGGCTGTTCTCGTCTCTGTGCTTGTTGGAGGCCCTCAAGGATGAAGTCCGCAAAGCTTTGCAGAAAGAAGACTACAGCACCTCAGAAAGAATAGCTTTGAGAAGAAATGCAAGGGGTCGAGCTTGAAGCAACTCCAAGCAATCGAGTCAAATCCGAGCAGTTATCATGATCGCCCCCAACGCTAAAGCTTCGCGACACGTCAGCCTGCCCATGCTCCGAGGCGTTGCTCGACACTACAAGAACAAAGGCTGGGCCCAAAAGATTGCCAGAAGTCAAGCTTTCGAGGTGGGGCATCTTTGTCAGCTTAGCTTCACTGCCTGCAGCTTTGACATCATGTGACAGATTGCAACTCTCGTCCTCATCGGGGTGAACTGCCTTTGGAGCCGTCGCGGCAGTCTTTCGGTTCCTTTCGAAGTGACATCCCTGCTGCGTGCAGCTCATGGGAGCTAAGGATGTCTGTCGATGCAGATCTGAACCGTGCCACATTATTGCCAGAAGCGGAGCCCATCTTCCAGGCCCCTACAGTGAGCCGGAGAGATCTCGGATTCTCAGCAATTCCCAGGTTGCTGAGAATCTCTTTTGCGTCCTCTTCACGCGGGGAGCCCAAGCAGCCGATCTGGTACCGGTAGTCATTTTCCTCTGTGCTGACTGGGCGCCAGGATGGAGCTGCTCCTTCGGTTCCTGGCCCTGAAGTACAAAAGGAGCACAGACGCGCAGGGATCATAACGTTTTCCAGCAGCATCTGTCATGTGCAGGAAGTGCATTCGAGACCCATGGTTCGTTTTCGATGCATTCCTCGTTGTATCTCGGATTTTGATCAGGTTCAGTCGGAAAAGCAGTCAAAGTCGGTCACAGATGTTTGGGCTTCTTGTTTGAGGCATTGATGATCGTGGAGACATGGGGTGTGTATGTCGCAGCCTCGATTGGATTCGCGAGTAATGCGTGCGTGCTTCCGAAATCCTCCGCAGACTTCCATGTGGCCTGAGGTTGTTTATTTTATCAATGGCACTAGTGTTGGCATTTTCCAGAATGCGACCATTCTTCGAATTCTACGTATCTTGAGGCCGATTTTGTGTTCAGTTGTCTTGAGGTGCATTCAGCTGTGCTCTTCTGCGCCAGGTTGTTGCGAACGGCCCGCATGGCGAAGCTTCTGCGCACGATGCCTGAGCTTATGCTTCTTATTAAAGGCCATGGATGGCACCGGCAGTGTGTTTTGACTGGAGTTGAACGCCTGTGCAGGCATTGTGGTTGCAACCAGATCCGTCTTCTTCACGCTGGCTCTGCTGGCGATCATCATTTACGTGCCATGATTCGCAATGTCCTGACTCTTGCTTGAAGAGCGCTGTGACTCTCGGAAGTTCGGAAGGTCTTCGCCATCATCTTTATGCAGCTTGCAAGAGATGCCCCGCAACTAGGAGCCTTCTCAGTTAGACTGGATGCATGCTTTCGCACTGTGCTATTTGTGTATGCATCAGGACTCCGAAGAGACTTTGTCCCGACCGATGGTAACGCAACTGTTGGCGAGCTCGAGTACTTGTACTTTGACAGGCCGTCCGACGCCGTGTCGTTGGCCGGAATAATCGTTGATGCGACCTTGCTCCTTGAGGTTCGGATCCTCCATGCACACACTGCTCTTTGAGGCGACAGCCGGAAATGCCGTCTTCTGCAATCTCGAAAGGGCTCAGATCGTGCAGGATACCTTTGGTGTTAAGCTGGGCAACGCTCAGTGGTAAATTTCAATATTCGCCGACATTAGTCAAATAAAAAATCCCAGCTGAAAATTATGGTTTCGCAAAGTCACGGACAGCAGAAAACGTCTGAAATCGTTATTTCCTGTTCTAACTTGGCATGAGCACCAAAGCACCAAGACCACTTCTTCGCCCAGAATTTTACTTGAATCATTTCCAACTGCGCTTCCAAACCCAGGCAGGATTTTCAGCACCACGGCCAGATCTTCAGCCAGAATCATTTGTACATGCTTTTCACCGGAAACGTGCTTCTGCTCATCAGGACCTGGATGTCTCAACCAAAGCCGAAATTTTCAGCTCCAGTGTCAAAGTTCCAGCCAGGGTTATTTATCTTCATTACAAAAAACCTTAACTGGAAGTTCGCATGTGCGCCACATCAGCACCAGAGCAGCCTTCCAGATTTGTTTGTGTAAGCTTTCCGAGGAGATGCCGACTGTTGTATCAAGATTTCCTGCTAAAATTGGTTACGGTTTCCTTGAACATTTGCTTCGGTTCCAGACTAGGCCGAATCTCCGGCAGTAAGACAATTTTTTTTTGCCAAAATCGTTTATAGATGGTTCTCGCTGAAAATTTGCTGTTGTCCCAGACCAAGGCCGAATTTTCCGCGCCACGGCCACTTTTCTGCCGGAATTATCTATGAATAGGGTTGACTGAAAATTGTGCTTCGGCCCCACACCAAGCCCGCACCACGGCCAAGTTCTCAGCTAGGATTACTTATACGTAGTTCTCACTGAACATTATGTTAGCTCTAGTACCCTATTTCGTGTTTTTTCCATAGAATCTTGTTCGTTATATTCATACAAAAGGATACTAGAGCTGAGCTTGCCTCTAGTACCTGTTTTGAAACATGCTGATCTGCTTGGAAAAGAAGGAAAAAGGTACTAGAGCTAAACATAATTTTCAGTGAGAGCTATGCAAAGATAATCCTGGTTGAGAATGTGGCCGTGATGCGGAAATTTCTGCCTGGGTGTGGGACTGAAGTAAAATTTGCAGTGAAATGTATTTCTAAATGATTCCCGCAGAAAATTTGGCCGTGCTGCAGAAATTTCGGCCTTGGCCTGGGACCGAACCAACATGTTCAGTGACAATGATCAATTATCTATGTGTGATTGTTGCCAAAAAATTGGTCTTGGGCCTGGTCTGGAACCGAAGCCAAATTTCAGCGAATTTCATATTTCTGGCCGGAAGCCTGCTTAAGCAAAGCCTTGGGCTAATCGCTCAGGCAAAAGGTTGCGCTTGGCTCTGAACGCCTAAGTCTGCTAGACTGATAAAATGGCCTTAAATGCCCTGTGTCTGTTAAGCCGATGCTGTTTCCCTGCATATTGCTTGTCTCTCCCTGCGTCTGCCGAAATGGCTTGTCTCTGTTAAGCGATGCGGTTTCTCTGCATGCTGTACAAGCAGGTTTCGGAGAAGCAACCCTGTGCCGCATGCTAATTTAAAGGCAGATTTGCTCTTACAGTGAATATTGAAGCTCACCTCCCGACATCGAGTAGCGTGCATAAGAAGAAGGATATCTTTAGTAAATTATAAAGCCTACGCTCCGAGCGAGCCTTTACTTCGCTGCTGGAAGCAGCATCAACAGCCTGCGGATGAATGACAGTTAGAAGTTCCTGCGCATTTACTGGCCTGTTGCAGCATCCTCGTAGCAGTCCAATGGTATACAGCCAATGGAAAGGCAGTCCTGCCCGATCTCAAGGATTTCATCAGTGTCTCGGTGAAAAAGACAAGTGCTTGTGTTCCTGTCAAACAGTTGTGCAATCATCTGCGTTTGACCGAGATGAGATCATGAGGGGAGGCTGGATCTTTGCATCGAGCTCAGCTGGTTTGAGCTGTGTGAGCCGAGAGTGTCATTTTTTTACCCAAGGCCTCGGTAATGATGATCTTCATCCTCCTTGGCTCGGTTCCTTGGGCTTACCGACTAGCCCTGTAGCCACCTCCGGTGTCCTTTGTAGCTTCAGAGGCACACTGCGAACGATATCACAAGCTGCCAGCTCACGTGAAGAAAGGGACGACATTGAAATCTTTCGGTTCGGAATGGCGTGAAAGGAGTCAGGGAGACGCGGTGACTTCCTTGACATGGCGCAATCAAGCCAAGTAGCAATCTGCGGTTCGGCGAACGCCCGTGCCGAGCTGCAAGCAGTCAATGTTGCACGAAGCCATGCAGGTGTCGTAGATGTTGGTAGAATACGACGAGAACAACAATCACATCTTACTAGGGACCAAGGTGCAACGGGTCGTGTCAAGCATGCACTACCTTGTAAGACGCAGGCTTTCACGTGTTCTACAAAGGTAACTATGATGAACATGCTTGTGGGCGTCTTGGTGGAAGTCATCAAGACCGTCTCCGAGATTGAGCGAGAACAGCTTTTTGCCGAACACATAATATATCTGAGGTTTGCTTGTGCTGCAGTGGACATCTCGCGAAGTTGTTTGCTGGTTCGTACTATGACTCAGGCTTGAAGTCAGTTTTGTCAAGAAGATCTTTTCCGCCAGACGGCAGCAATAATATCGGTTTGGACACCAGCGGTGGTGCTACCATGCCCAGGACATGATCACCAAGATGAACTTAGATGCAGACGGTGACAATCGAATCTCGAAAGAGGATCCTCGTCACGCAAGTGATAATCCTGTTAGTCCAGGGCTTGGCTCTGTCAGGACTTTATTCAGCGAGTTTTTTCAAGCACGCGCCCACAGCAAATGCATCGTCTCGACAAGCTGGTGTCGAACGAGCCTTGCGAAACCTTTGCCGGCAAGCCAACTCAGTGGTCCTCTTCCGCCGCACGAAGCTGGCTGCGGGCCACGGGCCTTTGCGAACGGCTTGCTTTGCAGCCTCAGCGCTTTCAAGGAACATCGCTTTGACAGTCGAGGCTTGCAGAGGCCTGGCGAAACTGGAGCACTCCCATCCAAGCATGCCTGAACTGAGGAAGTGTGCAAAACAGAAGTCGGATCAGGGGATGCAAAGTTCTGCTAGATGGGTGGCGGTGCTGAAGGTTGGATGCATTTGGATGCCTTCGCCTCGCATGCTAAGGAGTTCGACACACTCTTATCAAAGCCGGAGGCAGCCAAGGCCTTGCTAAACATTGGCCCGGAACCAAGTGCTTAGATTTCCAGGCCCTTCTGCAACCACTGGTCGGAACTTCCGTAAGGCGTTGACGTGGTGGGCCTCGTGGATTATCGAGCGCCTTGGACGTGAAAAGCATGACCATGCCTCGAGCAGCTTCTCCAACGTGAGGACGTCTTGTTCGGCACAGAGGGTGACATGCGACTGGGCAGAACAGACCATTTCATGGCAGCTCCGTGCTTTTCGGCTTGCCTCCTGCGAACGTCCATTCGAGGGAGCTCTCCTTCGCTGAGTTCATGGAAGCCATCCTGGAACTACGAGGTGAAAGAAGTGAAGCCAGGATTTCATGACCGTTTGATTGCCCGGGAGGTACAAATAGTGCGAAGGTGAAGGACATCGTCGACCTCCGAAAATTTGTGGCCCAGGCACGGGGCACGGAGCAAGGGGGCTTCGAGACGTGTGCTTTGCAGACTCCGTAGACCTGACAAAGGAAACTGGTGCGATCTATGAGTTGGTAGCAGTCGTAACTCAGCAGCGCGGCCCCAAGCTGACCGGACCAAGAATCTGGACGAAGCGCTTGAGTGCACAGGGCAGATGGCAGCACACGGTCATCTTCGCGAACTACCTCAGTGGCAGAGGCCAAAATTCAGGATGAATGCTAGCGAAGGACGTGTTTGCCGAGTCTCCGTGCCCGAAAACGCAGGAATGGAGAAGCGCGTGCTTAGATAGGTAGCATCGGTGGAATGGTTCGATTTCAAGAGCTGTAGGGATGCTTTTGCAGATGAGCCATGGTGACATGTCCGATCTGAAAGATATTTTGAGATGATTTGCTTTAAGAGCTGTGGCTATTTTTAGAGGCCGGCCGAATGCTGCTTGCACCATTCACAGGTGACAGGCAGCCATGACAGCCTGCCCTGCACAATGCTTCTTTTTTGGCAGCTGGAGATGTGCAAAGCACTCTCTGCCTGCATGCATGCACATCCACTGAATTTCGCGAGGACGCCATGTAGCTCTTCAATGACCTCTAAAGGGGGTGCAGCCGAATGCAGCTTTGGACGACCTTGACGACGCACTGTTGTTAGAAAAGGGGATCGGCAGCGTGCACACAGAGCCTTCCGATCTTGCTCCGGGGTCAGTGCTGAGCACGATTGGCTCTCAGCCTCCTAGGTCTGCCAAGGTCTGCCAAGGCAGAGGTTGGCGCTGGCCATGTCTCAGCTTCGCCAAGGATGTCGATCTGAGGCGGCGCATGTCTGAAACCGAAAGCGTTGGATCGACATGGATATGGAAGGCCTACCGCCCGCAAAGAGACCGAAAGTTTCTGACACTTCTTCTGAGTTCGGTGATTCAGATGATGAAGACTTGGAAGTACAGGCCACGCTGCCACGTGCAGGCCTTTGTCCACAGCGTTTGCATGGGCTTCGCATGAAGCTGGTGCAGAGAGTGAACGAAGACTACTTCGCCATGCTCAGAGATGTGAACAGGAACGATTTCTATTGGGATGCCATGGAGAAGTTACCAGTACGGAACCGCCGTGTTTTGGATCTGGGTGCCGGGACTGGGATTCTATCCTTAATGGCTGCAAAGCTCGGTGCGAGCTCTGTCTTGGCCGTGGACGAATCCTCAGAGATGACGTTGATTGTGCAGAAGAGTGCTGAACACAATGGGTTTCAGGACACTATCAGCGTGCACGCTGGCCACAGCACGGCACTGTCGTTGGCTGAGAAGGACAGATTCGACGTTATTGTGTCGGAGACGTTTGGCGTTCTTCTCTTGCAAGAAGGCTGCTTGAAGTCCTTTATACACGCCAGGGAGCATTTGGCAAAACCCTCCGCACACATAATTCCTGCTGGCGGTGTCCAATATGCCAGACTGATGGGTTCTCCTGCGCTTCGATTGGCCTCCTCGATGTCGAGCGCAGAAAGACCGGACATGCTCCATGTCGATGCTCTCAGAGATCCAGGATGTCTTTGCAGCTGCTTGCTGTGTTTCGAGCACAATGAAAGGGTGTTGTCTGCATTCAGAGATATTGGTCCAGGACGAGTGCAATTCTCTTTGCCCGGAGGATTCAGCGCTTCGCGGCTGGATTCGTTGAGCCTGCTTGGCTTAAGCAATCCCGCGACTCGTGCAGAAGCGGATGAGCAAAGTTTGTGCGAAGGTGAACTCATTGCCAGATGTCTGCTGGATGTCAGAGAGTATCGGAATCCTGGAGGCACTGTACGGATACTGCCCTGGAGTTCATCCCAAGACCCACCTCCTTATCGAGGTTGATTTCGCCACGTCCAAGCTTGACGACATCCCGAAATGCAGCCGCGGACTCGTTCTCGGGTCGCTTTCAGAATAAATACAGCGTGGCGGGCGTGCGTGCAACCAAGCGATGTACGAGTGTACTTGCACCCCGGCTGTTTCTGGACATACCGGGCGTATATTGCAGCAGGCGTTCTCGCAGGTCTGGTTGAGTTGTGAGTTGCTTGGTATAACCGTATAACCAATGCTTGCATTTTTATTTTGGCTGGTCGTGCAACGATTAGATGCATCGCGGTCCATTTTCGATTTTCCCATCCTTCACAGCTTTTGTGGGTCATGGGGGAATGTCGTGCGACTGGACCCTGCCACTGTAGGTTCAACGGGAACTCTGGCCCTAGTCAGCCGTACTGCAGTTGTTTGGACTTCTGATGTGGACCGCCTCCCAGCCTCGGTCCGCCTCCGAGGCTTGCCTAAGCTCCGATGCTGCGCCTTCGTGAGCACAGGGAGGCGGTTGAGTCCGGGACGTGGGTTGAGCGTGTGCAACAGTGGTGATGCACGTAGTGCACGTAGGAACAAGGTTTACACAGAACGCGACGCCACAGCATCGCGGGTCGTGCGCCTTTCCGATGCCCGTCGACTGTCCCACTATGCCACCCCCGGGAGATGCTTGTGTCGGCGCGGAATTGCGCACCCTGGGCACGGCGAGTGCCCGGCCCAACACATGCACACGGTACGCGTTTTGGCCATCGAGGATGCTTTCATGTTTTGATAACGCTCGTAACTTGTTGATGCGTTGTTGAAAGTGTTGCATCACGTTGAGTTTAAAGTGCCTCAAGGGGAGTTTCCGGTTCGAGTTCTTCAAGACGGCGTGGTGGACGGCGCAGCAGTCTCAGTGACAGAAGTTGCTTTTTCGTTAGGCAGCTAGAGGCCTTCGTGTTGAAGTTGCCCGTTTTTGCCACTAAGATCGTAACGTCTTGGGAGACCTGGTCGGACAAGGAGTGGGTTCTCATGGAGGGTCAGAGTCATAGCGGCAGCAAGTCTTGAACATGAGCGCTTGAAAAAGAGACCCTTTTGAGCCGCGGCTGTGAGATCCACGGTCTTCTGAGTTCTAGACGAGACAAGATAGACAAGCTACACCTTCAAGTCCATCATCATAATGCATGCAGGAGAGGACACTCTGCATGAGTACCGAGGCTGACAAAATCAAGGCGTCGACGCAAGCTTTTGAAAGTTGCAACCTTCTCTGAACGCCCGAGAATGTGCTGATGCTTTCGTCTTGTAGGGCCAGCCCTGGGGATTCGCTCGTGATGCGCACTGGGGACAAGGCTTTTCGCAGGTGCGGACACTTTGCGGCTGCAAGAAAGGGCCGTGCTGCGGTCTGCCCTGCAGGTCGAGGGCCCTGGCGGCGGTGAGAAGTTTGAAGTGTTCGAGGGGGAAGAGCTTCGCCTCCAAGCTCGTCACTTGGCTGTCCTTTCGAGAAGTGTCTCTAATACGAATGTTAAAACAGAGTGATAAGGACACCGGTTTGAAAACAGTCACGGAATAGACTTAAGGCAAGAGAGAGGTGGAGAGAGTTTTAGACAAGTCGGGTGGGCCTGGAGCCGGGGGAGCTTGACGGGGGAGAGAGAGAGAGAGAGAGAAACTTAGGAATGAAGGCACGAAATAAGTAGCAAATTGAGAGCCGTGCAGTGGGGTACAGGATGAGCCGCTTGTTCAAGCCTGGGAGAACATGTCGCGTGGTTTCGCAGTTTTTCTGCACTCATCAGGACACATAGCCGAAGTTTGGAAGTTATTCCGTTGCATCACGGTCCGTCAGAACAACGCAAAGTCGTCGATTCTGGAGAGCTGCAGCCATTACAACGAGCATTGCGCCGTTGGTTTGGCTTGCAAAATCTGGCGAGGATGCATGAGTGATTGCAGGAGTTTCCTTGAATGTCTCCAGCCCTATCGGTCACGGCAAGCACTCTCACGACCTCCTCTTCAAGTCCGTTCTGTTTCTGATGCTGACATATCAAGGCCAAGGCAGTTGCTACCGTGGTGTCAGAGTGCGACTGAGGTTTCTCGCAGGATGGGGAGAGCCTGCAGCTAAGACTTTTCCGACCAGAGCAGATCACTCAGGTTGGGATGACACGACTGTCGTTGCACCAATCATGGTGCATCATGCTGGAATCATGCCAACTAGATGCCCTGTGAGGCTGACGATACTGGTGTCACTGGCATGCAGTCGGAAGAAGGCGAAACAAAGGAACTGAAGGATGGAGCAATAGTTCCATGCACAGAATGCAAACCTGCAACGTGGCTGCGTCATGCGGCACGTCCCGTTCTCTGCGACGCTGTTGGTCCTGCAAACCCGGACCTACAAACAGCATATGAGGCTGACCTCCCGTCAAACTTCGCCTGTTCGGAACGGCTCCGTGGCAAGAAATCGCTGTTTATCAGGACGATAAATGATGATTACTTCGCCTTCTTGAACAACCCTGCAAGGCTTCGATTTTTCAGAAACGCGTTGCCGGGCCTCGTCGAAAACAAAACCGTTTTAGATTTGGGCACTGGGGCTGGCCAGTTGGCCGTTCTCTGCGCTCAGATGGGTGCAAGACATGTTTTGGCGATTGACGCCTGCAGTGATATGTGCGATTTGGCGAGAGAGACTGCCAGGCGCAACAAAGTCACTGGCGTTGTGCAGGTGGCTCATTTTCTTAGCAGCAGTCTGGCTTTGATTGGCGAAGACAATCGGATGGATGTCCTGGTTTCTGAGCCATATGACCTTTTCATTACTGAGCCTTCAGGATCTGGAAGCCTCGAATACTTTATCGATGCACGCCGACGGCTGGTGAAACCGAATGGAATCCTCATCCCAAGTGGGGGTGCACAATATGCTAGGCTGGTGATGTCGGCTGACCTTGGCATGCGCTCCGTTTCAATGACGAATTCATCCAAAGTTGGTCTCGACAATCTGTGCGGGTTCTTGGATACAGTGACGTTGACATCGTCTCGAACAAGAGGTTTCAGGTGGAGCTGCCTGCCGGATCTGGCATTCATGTCGGACAGATGCTGTATATTCAAGCTGGATTTCTATAAGCTGAAGCGCAGCAGCATTCCACGCAAGACGGTTTTGCAGATGGAAGTCGTCCGTGATGGCTACGTCGATGCAATTGCGACATCTTGGGAGGCCTCTGGTGCAATTTCGTTGTTGTCCTGCAAGTCGAAATGCCGTGGGCAATCGCTCGACTGTTTTTGTGCAGGTCTGGGCAGGTTCCGCTGCTCAGCACCGCTTCTCCGCCCATGCAGAGGAGTCTATTCTCATGCCATCGTCATTCTAGGGATTCCTTCTGAACTTCCCATGGCTTCTTGTGTCAAATCACACAGCGTCATCCGGCGTCGGTGAGCGTCTGCGAGCACAGAAGCCTCGTGACAGTCGCCTTCCCTCCGAATTGACGGAAGCCGGCAGTGCCAAGCTTTGGGTGTGTGCGAGCTGCTGTGAAAAAGGGATCAGAACAGAAATTGTCCAGGAGACGGCGAATGAAGCATGGGGATTCAACAGTGATGTGGCTCCCTCAGTGAAATCAGTTCAGTTTCTTAAGGCCTCAAGGTGAGTCTGAGTGCTGAGGTAGTCTTTGGTCAAGGTCTTCAACTCGTTGTGGAAGAAGGTCTCCGGTACGAATCTGCACTTGTTCCAGCTTGTTCCTATGCGTCGGGCTTGATGATGTCTGTGCTGTGATGATTGCTTTGTGACGAAGGCTGAACTCAGCTCAAACGGCCCCGAGGGCACCCCCGACAGCGGGCTTGCTAGCAAGGCACTACGTAACCCGCCCCGGTTTGGTTTCTATGATGTGCCACGGGCCAAACTCGCAAAGGCAAAGTCACTTGCAGCCCACCTGAGACACAGAAGGTATAATTACGAAGTAAGAAGGTCCCAGCCCTGCAGCAGTGCAGCCACCGTGCAGCCATGGCTACGAGCACGTCGTCACCGCCAACACCGAGTGCGGTGGTGGACGAGCCGGGCTTAACGGGCCTTTGGTATGTCGGTATAGGCGCAGTCAAAGCGAAAAGCCTTCAGCAAGGCCGTACTGTAACTCAGAGCTTCCTGACAGGCCTGCAGATCATCGCCAGCATGTGTGGAACGGCCGGGAAGATTTTTGTGAGACTATCTACCCTCCAAGAGAAGAAGCACCCAATGCTATCGAAGTTCTTGCTGCCTAGCTCACAAGCCGTGTTGTTACTATGAGTCAGTCTCCCTTAGACCTGCAGAGTGCATGAGAGTGCAGATTGCAATTAGGTTCCGAGCGGGGCTGTTTACAAACACGGTGGTGGGTCCGTTGATCGACGTCTCTGCCTACAGCTTTGCGCCTCAGTCCTTGGTGGCTCCTTTTGGAGGCCGCCGGACGGGACCCGGACCCGGGCGAGAGGAGAGTGGACAGAGTGGAGTATCGTTTGTTTTTGTTCTCGTGGAGGTCTAGACGTGGTTTGGAACGCACTCTTGGCGCCGTTTATTCTCAAAGAGAAGCTGACGAGGCCAGTCGCTGTGATTGTGTTCGGTCAAGGTATCCATGTACACATGAGAGCTTTGAACATGTCCGTTTGCAAGTTCAGAGCTTTCTCCCCTGATATGGTTGCTGCTGGTTTTCTCGGTTGCTTTGTTCCTGCCTTGTAACGTTGTCTAGTTCCATCCCGCTTTGTTCAAGTCCTGCCCGTAGGAAACTGCGACTGCTTAAGTCTGTCTTGGCCTTCTTTGCTTTTTCCACCGGGCATTGGCCTCATGGCACCGGCCCACTTGCGAAGACTTTCTCTACATTTCAGGTAGCGCTGGATCTCCCAGGGCCTCTGTGCACGCTTGGACATGGAGAACATGTCTTTTTCTGCAGGGAGACATGTGCGGAGGGTGGAGAGCTCTGTCGAACGAAGCTCCACCGCCCTCCCCAGGCAAACGCACCTGCAAGGCTCGCGGACCTCCGCGGGTAAAGCTTGTTTCTTTTTTGTCAGTCTCTTTGTCTAGTGCTCGTCAAAGCGTGTGTGTGTGTGTGTGTGTGTGTGCGCGTGTATGTGCTTCAGAGGGTGGTGCAGATGCAACAATGACGTTGCTTTGCTCATGATGCAGGGTGCGGGTGGGACCGTGATGCTTTTCCGCCCGGGCTCGTCGGCTTCAGCACTCAGCCTGTCATCGTCTGCTCAGTCTGCTCATCACCCAGCTACCCAGCTCGAGAAGCAGCACTGCAGTTGTTTGCTCATTTCATGGTTCACATGGCTCTCGTCGGATGCAGCTCCTGACATTCGTCGGATTCAACTGCGGACAGGTTTCTTCGAGGTGTTCTGTCTTGGATTTTGATGTTGCCGCCCAGCCTAGCCGTGCTCTGGTGGCTAGGCACCGTGCAGTGGGCAGTGCATTGGTCATGACTGGAAGCATGGGCTCCGCGGTCTTCGGCAACCAGAAGGACAGTCTGTGACCGGGCTCAAGCGGAGTGTTGCGGCCCGCGTATCTTGAGGACCCGATATACACGCTGGAGTACATTGAAGACACGATGATCAATCCCCGGGTTCTGATTTACTTCCTTGTCTTCATCTCATGGTACTTTACCTGACCAGAACCTTTTGTATTTACAGCTGTCGTTCGAATGTCGGACAGCCGGACATTGACAGGTATCTCTTCAATCAGTTTTACCTTATGCGGTGGCCGAACGGCTCCCTGATCAAGGGATTGTCTTATGGCTGGACGGCAGGATCACTTGCTGGCCCCTTGTCTGAGCGCAAGCCGAGTGGAACGTCTCGCGATCGCGATCTGAGCTGAGAACGCCTCCGAGGCAACATGTGGTGCACAAAAATCGCTATTGTTGCCGACTTAGTGTGAGAAGCCGCTGCTTTAGGCCTAAGGCTCCTGGAGAAACAAAATGGGCCCAGGAGCTGATACAGACAAGCATTGCTTTGGGAGACCCGGAGCCTTGGAAGACTTGGATTCCCTACACAGCCTTGCTCCATGGCCGCAAGGCAAAGACTGGATTCTGCTTTCTGCAGTTTCTCCTTGCCCTCTGAGGCTCGGGGCGGCGTTCTTCGCGATCGTCAACGTGATTTTCCTGACTAAGGGACTTCAGCACTACGAAGCTTTCTTCATGATTACCACAGTTGAGGGCTCCATGATTCTGTCAGCCAGCCTCTCTGGTGCTATAGTCTTGCTCGATGTCCGTGACCTGGAAGTCTGGCGAATCTGCATGTACTCGCTGTGCGTGCTGCTCGTCATCTCGGGCATGGTCACTGTTTTCAGGGGTGAGACTCGCAGCAAAAGTTCCCTGATGAGCGGCAATGCCAGCATCTCTGAAGCTTTAACACGAAAATGCTGCTGAGTCTTCCAGTGTCTGCTGTCTTCGGTCCTGAGCACATTGCTCAAAGGTATAGCTGACTCAGACATCAAGGAGAAGGCAGAAAAGGCGGTGGCGATCCCCACAATTCCTCCATCGCCCCAAGGCTCCACGAGCTCGTACACTGGCCGAGTCCATGCTGGTGTTCCGCCAAGCCCAACTACCTCCATGATTTCAGACAAGGAGGGAACAGTGTGTGACACTGTCTCGTGCCCGTTGCCTATTAAAGTCGCCTAAAGCGTGCTTGCATCCTCAATGTGTTCTGTCAGAGAGTTTCGGACAGGGTTGGCTGGAGGAGACAGCACAAGTAGACACGGTCGCGCGGTATGCTTTGAGACATCATTGCGCGGAAAGGAAGGCAATGGTCGCTTACGAGCCATCAGCTCAGAGGACATCGAAAATGGCACGCTCCTCAGAAGTTAGAGGTTCCAGTTTTAAGTGTCGCAGACATTTGTGGGTGATTCCGACCAAGGTATCATTGTGATCAACGATAGACCGATGCATCCACCCACGATCGTTGAGAGCGATGTTGAGGATTGTTATTTGGCAAAGTGTAAACTTGGGGAAAGGCATGCTGTGTATTCTGCGCCCAGTTTGCGGTAGAGAAGCCGACTGGCCATGCTCTTAAGGCGTCAGATTGGATCACCCACCGCCTGGAAAGAAACCAAGAAGTGTTCCAGACTCAGTGATTGGTGCACGGTCGGTAAACGCCGGAGACATTGAGACGATGCTTGGTCGAAGAAGGTTCAGTTCGCAGACTTCACTCTTTTCGACGTTTTGGTGCCGTTCTATTTTGTTCTGTCCGAGCTTTGAGCTGAGGATCCCTCTGACGGGGACGGCCGAAGGCCTGACCCGTCAGATAACATACACGGAGGACGGGCTCATCAAGCTCTAGTGCTTCGTGAGTGCCTCACAGCACCTGACTCAGTGCTGGACGTTGAGACGAAATTCATCTACTTGCCTTTCGTGGACATGCGGCTCAGGTGCAGACAGAAGTTCGGTGTATGGAGGACGAATCCATCATTGGCATCTTCATCGTTGCATCAGATTGGCTTCAAGTCTGGCAATACGAAATCGTATTGGCCAGGACATCGGCCAATAATTCGATTGCATCTTGGATTGATCCCTGCTTGCCATCACATCTGTTAGACCGGCATGCTCAGCATCCTGGTCAGCTTACAGCGGACGGCAGCAGTGGCATCTCCAAGCAAAGTTGGGGTCTGTTTTTGCGCAGCTGCCGAAGTCACCAATACTCCCAATTCCCATCCTAGCAGATCTCATCCATTACCTAGTTAAGGCCCCGCTCTGTGTATGTTGCCTTTTGGCAGCAGCATCTAGTTGTGTGACATGCTGACGCACGCAGAACACACATTTCTAGCAGCGGTTCTGGCGATTGCCGGCTCAGAGCTCCGGTGATTTGAAACTGCTCGCCCTCAGCTGCATCGAGAGCCACAGACAACCTGGCAACCTCTTGCTCTGGCGGAGGCGACCGGCCTCAACCCTTCCACGTCAAGCAGGGTGAGGTCTTGGAGCTCACAGCGCACGTATCCGAGCTTCGAGATGTGTGCGCGGCCTGGTCATCCTGACATATCCTTCTCTGCCACTGCCCTCTGCATCAGCAAGGCTGCACTTCACACTGCGGCGGAGAGGTCTGTGGTCCTGTGCTTGTTGTGTGGTCTTTCTGGCGTCACTTGTTTCAAGCTGCGAGGTGTCACTGCGGCGGGATGAGCGCGGATTGTGGAAACAGACCCTTTGCATGTCTGCCAGGGCGGGGTGAAGTTGAGCAGGCGCAAAGGTGAGAGATGCTGCGAGATCCTTTGACTTTGGCTCAAGCCTCGGAGTCAACATGCGATATCATGCGGTCAGTGCAAAGGCTTCGAAAGTAGCTGCATGAACCATGCGCGAAGAACTGTTGTCTCTAGTTATATGCTAGACGTGCACTTGCAGAATACCGCAATCCTGGCATGCGAGCAGCGAGTGGGTCACGCGCATGGAAGGCACATTTTCCTTCCGGCATTTAGTGCAAGTCCGCAACCGTCCTTGTAGAAGACGCCCACCTACTTTAATGATGTTAATAAATGCCGTACTTTGCTGGGGTCTGTCGTGAGAGATGCCCAGGCCCAAATCTGTGCGCCACGATAGGGTGAGACGGGTACAGCCGAGCCCAACCAACCGGTACCCCCGGCACGAGCAAGGACCCAAAGCTCACGAAACCATCAAAACAAGACGACCACGCTACACGGCAGCAAGTCTTGTACCAACACATGCAGCACGCCAGCGCCAGCCTCCAGATACTGTCGAGTTTTGGAGCTCCGGTGTGGAAGCACAGCAGAGTCCAAGTGGGACGAGTCAGGCATCCACCAGGAAAAGATTGGCACGTGAAAAAGGCAAAGGCTAGTGGACCTTGTATGTCATGCAAGAGGAGCCTAGGACCATCCCACGACGGACTCCTGGAAATGGTGCATCTGTGGGTTACCAGACAAGGTGATCTGGACAGCATGCAAGGACCAAAAACGTAATGGTCCTTGGACAAAGGCATCTGCAAAAAAGTCTCGCACTTGAGACATGCTCTTCTTCTCAACGGGGGTAGACCTGTGCACAGCTTTTGAGTGTGCTGCCGCGAAACCAAGCTTCCACTGGCCACAGTTCAACACCCACTGTCGTGCATATTTATATGCTTTCACGCGTTCGAGTGTTTGATGTGGCAAAGGCGCAGCAGCTGCAGAGACAACAAGTCATTATGGGTTCAGGCTTTCATTCTTTGCTGGACTTATGTGGCTTTCGCTCACTACCATGCTTTCTCAGGATATTCAGGGTTTCTTGTATCAATGAGCTTATATGCTCAATAGATCTGCGGGACCCAGGGTATAGATGACGTTCATCGCTGCATTTCGATTGAGTACCAAAGCATGTAGCCAACTTCCAGCGATGGGTGGGTGACTCGTCATGTGGGCTTTAAGCTTCAAGGGTTCAACTCACACTGTTCAGTGTTTAGTGCAGATGCAGATGGCCTGTTGGCGAGAGCTGCGCTGTATCTCAGAGTGAGAGAGGGCTGCGGAATCCAGAAATGCCATAGATGTGGCACCGCATGTCTGGGTACAGAGGTCATGGTACGAGTCCAGTCACTCGCTGTCGGTGCATTTGCACATCGCAAGGATGTCCGAAGCGGCCAATCGGAGCAGCACCATGCAGCCTGTAAGCACCGAAACATGACACTTGGTAAAATTCGTGCTGCATCCTTGTCATGAAATCGCAAGGTTGCAGCAAGCAGAAGCAGCAGCGAGCCTACTTGACTGGTATTGGTCCATAGGGGTCCTTCATGAACATTTAAGAGCCTCCGGCTCAAGCCGCCAATCCCGCTGGCCCGCAGGCGTCAATAAGGAAACACATCACCTGACTATGACAAAGGAGTTTAGTGCTGAGCACTTGGGCAAGTTCTCAGGTGTGGGTTCCGACCATTCAGACGTCGGGTCCGACTTGCAGGGCTTAGGGCCGGGCAGCGAGACAATTGGCGTCAGTGTTGTTGTTGCTGTTGTCGTCTGCATCCGCAAGATTCGCATCGATCACAGCGAGGGCGACACATATCGTCGACAGATGCAAGACTCTTTCCGGGCTGCTCGCGATAAAAGACAGTCGGAGGCTGAGGCCCCCCCAACTGACAAGCGTTATCGCGAATCTGGAAGCAGGAAACTGGTGGGAACACTCAGAAGCATCGACCACCAGCAATGGAATTGGCGACTGGAAGAGTGACCAGCGTCTTCGACAAACGTTCTCACTGCGGCCTCAACCGGCCCTGCCACCTATAGCTCACGTAGACTCGGTCTGCGACTGCATGTGGCGGTACACTACCCCGCAGAGCACATCAGCTGCGCTCTGTGTGCCAACGCTTGAGACCTGCACCATCTTTATTCAGAAAAATACAGCCGCATAGAAGGGTGTTGTGGTTCAGAGCAAGGGATTATCACTGGGGCCCGCAGCCTTGCTCGGCATTTGCACGTACTTGGTGAAACATTGCCGGCGACTCATCTCCGTGGTCCTGTTGTGTGGAGGTCCTCTGACCCTCTCAAGTGTTCCCTCCGCGAGTATTACGGGAGCATGAGGCAGTACAGCGTGGATCCGAGCTACAGCGAAGCCCGAAGGCCCAAAGGCATACTAGATTTCCCTTCAGTCAAGGACAGCGTCATAAGTGAGGTAATACGCCCGCCATGCGCAGACTGCCAGTCGGACCACATGTTCGAATGGTTCCATGACAGCCTGCCTCATGGTCGGCGCTGACGGCCAGCTCACCATCTCCTTCGGACTTGGGCCAGAGGAAACCTACCGTGAGCTACAATCTCTTACGGGCTCTCTGCGTGTGCATTTTTTGGGACCATGAAGATATGCCGGGGCCTCATGACAATTTTGAGATTTTGGCCTCGGCTCTCAACTCAATCTACGATCAGACCTGTAGGACCTGCGGCCTATCCACTCGCATGATCGTCTTCATGCCCAACAAAGATGGCACGCGGGTTCGAAAGATGAAGATAGACCACAAGTTGGGAGACACCCAAGCCAGGCAACACTACGAAAGGGCACAGGCTCGAGACAGTGGCGCGTTCCACAGACAAACGCCAGAGAGGAGGAGAAAGGTTGGAACCAACGAGGTTGGTCTGGCCACAACTGGTGGGAAGCCGCCCGGAGACCATGGCACTTCTTCCTCCAGTCAATGGAACTGGAAATATCGATGATGTTTCGCCGTGGGCCTTTGGCCGGCAATCAACCTGTTGGTGGCTTGGCTTCTGCACTCACTTACACCTTCTTCAAAACTGCACTGGCAAGAGTGCTCTGCGTTGCTAACACTGATGCAGATCGGGAAAACCTTAAAAAGAGCCGCGACTGTCGTTGCGGAGACGGGGCAGCCGCAGTGGGCAATCCCGCTCGGTGGAGATGGGGATGGGGTCTCATCTGCTTGCTTGTTCTAAGCAGTACGAGGCAGCACAGCGTTGGATCGGTCGCCAAGAGCCACAACGTCACACATCAGGTAGCTGAGTCATGTTCGAGGGTCGCTTTCGCACCTGCGTGGAGCCCGCCCGCGCAGCGTTCAATTGCAAAATTGAAGTTGGCATCGCTGACATTTGCGAGGGGGAGGCTGGGAGCGGGGGGGAGGGGGGGGGTGAGTGGGCCAAAGTCGAGGCGCTCGGGTCAGAGGAGGAAACAACGGAGGCTTTCACCTCCAAACACATCATAGCCCATCTGCAACGACATGACAACAAGCCGTCAGTGTCACTGGTGCCCAGGTCGCAGCACTTGAAGATCCACTCGGCCGCGACCTGCTGGAACGGACTGGCATAGTTAATATCCGTGCGGACATCTGCAACAGACATCTGACATTCAGCAGAAGTTTAACGGAAGTTGGCAAATGCGAAGGATGCCGACGGTTGGCAAGCAAGTCTTGGTCCAAGTGTAGTTCTGCCCAGACTATCGGAAATGGTGTCTGCCTGCTTTCGGACGACTGTTGGCTGTAAGTTGTAGAAAGTTCACAACTTGCCCCTCGCGCAAAGTGACAAAGTGACCTTCCATCATGTTTTGGCGACGAGCCTTACTTCGGCCGTCCCAGGCCTTCAAATGGTGGTGCGAGGTCTGGGAGCCACAGGAAAATCGCGGAAATTGCAACGAACTTAGCTTTGGTCAGTGCCGTCGCATGGTTCGTTTTTTGGTTGGTCGCATGAAGCTCCACAGCGCCGTGAGACTTCCGAAGCTTTGTGACCCGTAAAATCTGGACACTGTGCTTTTAAAGTAGCCACTCGGCAGCTGCCAATTCACTTACTATCCGGCTATTGAGGGCGAGCATGCAAAGGCGGCCCGGCATCGGCAATGGCAGCTCTCCGTTTTCTCGGGCACAGATCTCGGCTGCCGACGTGACATGCCAAGGATGTCTTCGCTGCACCTTTTGCCCAGGCTCGAAGGCTCGTGGACGCAGGCGAAAATTGTCGAACAGGCCACTCGCTTCAGTGCATCACGCACTCGACAAGTCGCCTCAGTTTCCATTGTTTCTTCTCGGTGCCTGCCAAATCTACGCAACTACACGGCTACAAGCAGCCAGATTCTTGCAACCTTAAAGCATGTTGCATGCGAGAGCCCGATGCCACCCCGAGACACTACGACGAGCTCTCGACCCAGAGAGCGAAGTCCAAAGTAGAACTTTGCGAAATCCTCGACATTCAAGGCTGAATCCCGTACGGGGGCGCAGTGAATCGGCGACGACGCACGACGACGGCTGACGAGCAGGACGACGCCGACGACGACAACGACGGATGACATCCAGCCCACTGCTCGCATCGAAAATGGCGGAATGGATGTGCAGATGAGGTGCAGCGTCGGAGGTTCCTAATGAGGTGCAGAAGGGGGCCGGAGGTGCAGATGAGGTACCGGCAAGGCTGCGCGAGAGCTTCGCGACGCAGCGATGTAGCAAGCCTGCTGCGTCGAGTTGAATGGAAACTTGCAGTATTCAGCTCAGTGCCCAAACGATTGAAATCCCAGTGGCGAGCACGATATGTGCAACGATGCAACCGGGATGAGCAAACAACGCAAGACGGAATGCTGCACGAAAACCAGCGAGGTTTAGATGAACGCTGTAGTCGTTCGTATTTGGCGGTGGTGCCGTGACGAGAGTGCCGAAAATCTACGTGTCAGCTGCCCTCGTCTGGAAGCTTTCTCTCTGTCTCCTTCGCTCTTTCATTTGCTCGCTCTCTCTGTCTCTCGCTCTCTGCTCTGTCTCTGTCTCTGTCTCTATCTCTGTCGCTGTCTCTGTCTCTGTCTCTCTGTCTCTCTGTCTCTCTGTCTCTCTGTCGCTCTCTCTCTCTGTCTCTCTCTGTCTCTCTCTGTCTCTCTGTCTCTCTGTCTCTCTGTCTCTCTGTCTCTCTGTGT